GGTCAAGGTCATTCATTTGAACAAACTTGGTAGCCCTTCATCCCAGCATGCTACAGGCCCAATATCAGTACACTGGGCCTTTTGGTTATTGAGAAGAAGTTGTTTGAAGATTTTAACATATTTGACCCCTGTGACCTTGAAAGTGGGTCAAGGTCATTTATTTGAACAAACTTGGTAGCCCTTGATCCCAGTATGCTGCTGGCCAAAAAACATCTTCCTAGGCCTTTTGGTTACCGAAAAGAAGTTGTTTAAAGGAAAAAGTTGACGCCGGACAGACGGACGACGGATGACAGACGACGGTTGACGACGGACGCCGCACCATAACATAAGCTCACTTGCCTTTCGGGCAGGTGAGCTAAAAAATAAACACATTTTACTAAATTTTACCCCCCAAAATTCCTCTCCAATGCAAAAAAATCCCTTTTCACTTGCCAAGGGTCCCATTTGAAAAGTTGTGGTTCTTGATCTTTGCCACCTTACCTGGCCATGTTCCCTACTCTAGGATCAATATCACTGCTAGAAGCAGTCATAGGCTTTCTCTTCCATTTCATGAACTCCTTGAAGAGTCTCTCACTTTCTATCTCGTCATCCTTTGCCGTCTGTACACTAGCTGGGCTCTCTAAACGACCTTGACCTTGGTAAGATTGCTGTAAATCAGACCTAGGTTTGTTTTGTCCTGGCCTCAATGATTTATCCCTAAGGTCTTCATCTAACACATGTTTTTCATTTGTCCTTGCAGATTTACGTCTGTAATCGTGATCAAGAACGCTCTCATCGCCCTGTGACGAATCGTCATTGTAGTCAAACACAAGCATCTTTCTCTTTTCTGACGATGCACGGCTGTAATCAAATACCTGTTTCTCACTTGTACTTGAAGACCCATCACTGTTATCCTCTGTAGTCCGCTTTGACTTATCACTGTAGTCAAATACCTGTTTTATATTTGGCTTCGAGGATATATCACTGTAGTCAAAGACCTGTTTTATATTTTGCTTCGAGGATATATCACTGTAGTCAAAGACCTGTTTAATATTTGGCTTCGAGGATATATCACTGTAATCAAATATCAGCTTTTCCTGTTTCTCTACGAACGGCTCACTAATTCTTGATGAATTATGACTGTAATCAAACACAAGTTTTTCACCAGACCCGGATGATGTATCGCTATAATCGAAAATTAATCTGTCTTTACTCCTAGACAAATCGTCGCTGTAATCATAAACCTGTCCCCTCGCCCCATAACTCTGATCATCATGGAAGTCTGTATATCTGTCTCCACCACGTCTTGCCCGTGCCTCAAAGTAGGGATCATCTTCAGGATAATGGTATCGATCTCTTTCTTCAAAATAGTATGGATGCCTATCTGAATAATTAGGCACTCTTAGGCCCTTTGTACGATGATCGATATCTTCATTATGGTCATCTTTTTCATGTCGTAACTTTTCTGTGCGAAGACCGATATGGACATCTGTTTTATATCCCACCTTGTCAATCCTAGACGGCTGTTTCTTTGGACTGGCATGCTCATCATCAACACCTTCTCGTATTCGTTTCAGGGCTTGTCTCTCTGAAAGTATGATCATAATACTATTAAAGTATTTTCCCCCCATAATTTTCCAAATTTGCTAAAATGGTTGATTTCTCAGGAAATCTAGTATTTTTGCAGATTTAAGGTCTAGTTTGCACGGGATGATGAGCTGAAGTAAAGATGGATGAATATGGGGGTTTGTGTTAAAAAATTCTTTCCATCTAAAACAAGAATTTGGTGCCGCACCATTCTTCGGGCCAGGTGAGCTAATAAAACCATGTGTGACGTAGGAATGGCCTATGTGCAAACGCAAGAGGACAACTTCCTCTCTGCGATCTGCTCTACTTGTTGCACATGAACCAACAAACCCACATTAAACCTTTCACCCATATGTAACTTTAGTAGACTCTACCATGCATTGATCTGGATGAATCTACTAAGGTCTACAGTGGTGAAAGGGTTAAGTTGAATTGCAAATAACCTAATTCAAGACCTAGAATTGACACATGTGTTGTTTACAGTAGATCTGCGCACCTTTGATGAAATCAGTGACAGACGAGTTAGGGATGTTGATACCGCTGCGTTTCAGAAGAGTTTCTGCCGCAATGGCCGACCGTTTGCTGATCTCCATTTTGACCTTGACCTTTTGTGGACCTTCTTTCTTTACAACATCAGCAGCGAAAATCACACAGGATGCAATGAGGTCAGACTTTTTCCTGAGGCTGTTGTAAGTAGTGAGATGAGAGTGGATATCAGGATGATGGGCTTTCTGAAAAATTTAAAAAACAAACACTAGTGATCTTTGTGAAATTATTTAACAGGTAGTTAATCACAGGTGGCTATTGGCCATCTTGGTTTTGCGATCAATCCTAAAATTGAATATGCATAACAAGGGAATATGGAGAACCTCCATGTGAAATTTGAGAAAGATCCCTCCAGTACTTTATGAGAAATAGCGCTAACAAACTTTAACTCTTAAATTCAAGATGGCCACCTGTAAACCATCTTGGTTTTGACATCAGTCCCAAAATTCAATATGCATAACTAGGGACCATGGGAAACCTTCCTATGAAATTTTAGAAAGATCCCTCTTGTACTGTCTGAGAAATAGAAAACTAACAATAATTGACCTCGAACAATGGGTAATTTGAATAGCCCACCATCATGAGACGGTGGGCTAAAAAACTCTTTGGGTGACCTTTTTATGGCAAGCACCCTAATTAGGTCATTTGAAATGGTTCATATGTGTTTATTTTTAACTCATTCACCCCTGAAGATGCATTTGAACTCCTCCAATTAAAAGGTTGGAATAGTTTATTATGAAATTTCAGGGGTGAATGAGTTAACATCCTCACAGCAGCCAGGGTCATATGAATACAGGTGCCTAGGTAGACAATGCCAGGGTCATATGAATACAGGTGCCTAGGTAGACAATGCCAGGGTCATACGAATACAGGTGCCTAGGAAGACAATGCCAGGGTCATATGAATACAGGTGCCTAGGTAGACAATGCCAGGGTCATATGAATACAGGTGCCTAGGTAGACACTGCCAAAAGAAAATACTAAGGAAATGAGAAAAGAAAATATGTAGATCCCACACACTGCTATGGAGGCAGTAAATCAATTTTGGTTTCGTCTCCAATGTTTGCTGAACAAAAGATCAGACCCCCCACCCCAGAGAATCTGCAGGGGGTCCCACATTGGTCGCCTCTTACAATAACATGCCGTGGAATGCAGCAGGCCTATTCTATCCCTGAACCTGTAGAGGCTCATAACTCTTTTACCCCTATGTAACTTAAATAACCTCTGCCATAACTTGATCTGGTTGAGTCCATTATGGTCTACAGTGTCCAAAGGGTTAAGTCAAATATGGTACTGTATAACATATAATGTTCATTGTGTATAAACATTGGTGGTTTTCGTGGTTGCTATTGAACGAAGAAAATAAATACAACGAATTTGAATGATATACGTGTCTACTGTTTGTTAACATAGGATATCCACGAAAGTTTGTACCACAAAACCATCCTAAAGGCTTCAAACCAGGAAGAAAGTCCCCACGAACATTTCGTGTTACGCAATAACTACTTACAAAGTACTTCAGTCTGTGCTTTATACCAGACAAATGGGGAGTGAGAGTGTTGCCATCACACTTGGATTCGCATAGGTTACAAACGTATCGGGGCTGTCCCTCCTCAGGCTGAAACTCTGTCACATACTGTATGCCTGTAAATGACACAGATCAAAATCAAGTACCGTAATACATAACATCAATGCTATTGTTTAGGGTGAAGAGTACCACTGCATCAATTAAAATCACAAAGAAGTATTCTACTTAAAAAGTTTTTCTTTACTTGGATTTATCTCCCATTTAAATTTTCATAGGCCCCGATTCGCATATCCGTTCAACCGGTTTGTCTGTTTTTATACTTAACATTTTCCGGTATAAATCCAAGAGAACCTGTAAATGTTTATACAGGCCTTGAAACGCTTGGTCAATGTTCACCTGATGGCAGCATCAGATAACTAGGTCTGACCTTATTTCATAAATGAACGACTCTAGTCCAACCGGTTCAACTGTTTTGATTGCGATAAACGAACGCGGCCATAGACATTGTGGCTCTAAAATTGGGTTTTTATTCTGATGCTGTTCATCTATAATTTCCAGATGGCAATATTGGAAAATGTCCTGGGGTTTTTTTTGGTTTTTTTTCAAACATTCAAATTTTAAACTCATTCTGTTAAAGGCATAGCAACGTGTTATTTACGGAATACTTCTTTTGAAAAGGGCTTTAACAAATATTTCACAATATTGACGATGGTAGTAATAGAGTTTGACTGGTTTCTCTTTACCGTCCAGTACAGTTTAATTCTGTATTGACATTTGTTAGCAAGGTTATGAGAGTAGTCTTCATTAGCCATTTCATATTAACTTATTCATCCCTGAAATTTCATAATGAACTATTCCAACCTTTGAATTGGAAGAGTTTATATGTGTCTCCAGGGGTGAATGAGTTAGGGATGGTGGATTATGATATGAAGTCTCCTTCTTATTAAGCATCAATGATATCCCTAACTAGTGACATGTAGTCATGGATTTATAATATGTGAATGATCAATTTTATTTGAAAAAAAGTCAGCTGTTAATTCCTTAAAATTATGATAGTGTGCTGATTTGAAATTAAAGAAACTAAAAACAGATTTTTTGTTGAATGCATCTACACCAACATTGCCAATATTTTGTCTCGCTGATCTCAATATAAATTACAGTGTCTGAGGAAACGAACATGATACAGTCCAGACCTCTTACTCTGTATACATAATAACTAACCTATCAGCGGAACTGAACTTTTGGCAAGAGTTTTAGTGATCAGGGCTTCCGTATCCACTTCACACATTTTGTTGTCAGTCGCAGTAGGCACATACTTCGACACCACAGCTACAATGACAAAGCACAGTTATTAAATATAGATACAAATATAAGGATAACAGCATAGGTGTCAACCTCTAAAACCTCCAATGAGGAAGACCTCCCTCATTCCACATTTCCAATGAGGCAGATCTCCCTCATTCCACATTTCCAATGAGGGAGATCTCCCTCATTCCACATTTCCAATGAGGCAGACCTCCCCCATTCCACATTTCCAATGAGGCAGACCTCCCTCATTGCACATTTCCAATGAGGCAGACCTCCCTCATTCCACATTTCCAATGAGGGCGATCTCCCTCATTCCAGATTTCCAATGAGGGAGATCTCCCTCATTCCACATTTCCAATGAGGAAGATCTCCCTCATTCCACATTTCCAATGTGGGAGAAAGTGTGTGAAGCGCAACTGAAACTGCTTTGTTCAATTTATCTTTCCCTTTTCATGCTTCAAAATAACTAAAATGACTCCAAAAAGCATTCATTTGTTTCACACATGTTATGATCATTAAACACCCCCTGCATTAACTAGGAGATCATTTGAACGCAGGATGTAAAATTTTGAGTTTGTGTGAGTTTGGACTTGAATGAGAGAGTTTCGAGGGAGATCGGTAAATTTTGGTCTAAATGAGGTTTGACAGGTATGTAACAGTCACATCTTGCTATGTCAAACTACTAGGACTATAACAATAGAATGATTCAGATGCTGATTTGCACTGAAAAGTATCTTCAATTTCACAGGGGTTAATTGATTAACTTTTCCCTTCCCTTAACTTATTCACCCCTGAAATTTTGTAATGAACTATTCCAACCTTTGATTTGGAAGAGTTTAAATGTGTCTTCAGGGGTGAATGAGTTAATAATAAAGTTAATTATAAGTTTTGAAGCGTCTTGAATCGTTTTATTCTGCAATGTGTTCTGGAAAAAAAAGTTAAGATGAAAATTTAGACAAAATGATTTTTTTCCATATTTCAATTAGAAAGCAAAATTCTGAAAGAGAATTTTTGAAATCATTTGATATCCTTTGTATTATTTAAAACCAATTTAACAACTTGAAATTAACAGCAATCTCACAAGTCCAATTTAGCAAGGATTTAGTGTAGTAATACACAAGTCCCGTTTAATTTAGGTAGGATTAACTGTAGTGACACAGAAGATTGGATTAGACAGGTTCCACTGTAGAAATTAAAGTCCAGTTTAACCAGGTTCCACTGCAGTCATACACAAGTTCAGTTTCGGCTGAAGGTTTCAAAGCAGTACACTGAAGTCCACACTTTACAAGTTTCACTGCTGTTATAGATTAGTCCAGGTTAGGCAGGTTTCATTGTAGTGATCCAAAAGTAGAGTTTACACAGGTTTTACCATAGCAACACCGTGGTCCTGGGTCTGTATTCATGAAACCGTTCTCATGCTCAAACTGAGATTTAGTGCTCAAACCCAGGTTTTTTTTCCAGTGATAAAATAATTAGTAGTAGTTGAATACTGCTTTCAATATCTAGACCTAAATTGTTAAAAGTATGACAAGATTTATGCAAGTTACAAGAAAGCTAGTTTGAGCACAGAATCCATGCTTGAGAATGTGAACGGTTACATGAATACAGAGCCAGGTTTCTCTGTACTTGCAGAGAAGTCTTCAGTTACATGAACTCACTGCAGTAATACTCCAGTTTTACGAAGATCCCCAGTTCTGTACTACAGGAACTATGTATCACAAGGTTTACACATACACACACATGTCTACAATCATACTTCAATCACAGAGATCAGGTTTTAACACACAATGTTCTCTCTCTACTTTTGACATACATCTCAACTCTTATCCACTTTGTTTTCGTACAGGTATATTTTTTACTTCCAATTTATTAGTTGCAATTTCGAATGTTTTCTTAAGGAACAGGTCTTGTTTAAACTTTGAAACAGCGAGAAATTTGACTCATAAAAGATTGATTAATAAATTGAATTTTAGCAGTGTAATATAAGGGGGATCTGGAACATGCCTAAAATTCGACACATTGAGAAATTTGAATCTTCAAAGTTTGATTTATGAAAGTTTGACAGTAATTGATTCTGATGATGGTTGGCCTAGCCAACCGACACATGTAAACTAATTAAACCTACAGTTACAGAATCCTTGATCCTACTGATCCTACTAGACTACTCCGTATCCACCTCCGATTACTCCACCGAGACATCTACCTACTGTCACCTACAGGACGTTGGACGCACTCACCTTAAAGTGAGTTGGTTCTCCAACACTTTTATTAATTTCTACATAAATTTTATATATACTGGTGGTGAATCTGTTCATCATCCAATTTAATTTTAGATAAAACTTCGTTATTGCAAAACCTGTATAATCTGTTACTGTGCTCATCATTGCAAAGTCACAAACAAAAACGTGAACAGGGCTTTAAAAAAATTCTTTATTGATGCTTAACAAATAATAGGTGGTCCAACACTCCTAATGTAGAACTTTGCGGTAACGTCCCAGGGCGGATCCGTGTGTGGACTCTATAGAGCTCCTTACTAACAAAACATACTAACAGAGTAAAGGAATCTCAACACCACATTTACTGACACTTGGAACGTTTGTATAAATTCGGTATTTTGATCACTTTTCCAAATTCGTTGTACATATCCACTGCACTGAGAGACAAGTTACTGAGCAACAAAACAGGTAAGAAATGTACATCTCCTGACGAAAGAAGTCAATTCACAAAAAATACCCCAAAACCGTATGGTATAATTTTGTATATATATGAATATATACAATATACCACACTTTTTGGATGAAACTGCTATACTGTACCAGTTTTGTTAATTGACTCAAAACATTCACTTCTGTCTGATAGAAGATTACAGCTTTCAAGCGATTTGAGAAGATTATACTGAAAGACATATCAAAATTCATATTTTTAATTCTTACATTTATGTAAATGTTTGGTAAACACAAAATCATTTAATGTCATATATTATCATATTATAAATCTCATTGTTTTAAAATTGTGGGTTTAAGAAAAAAAAAAATCAATTTGTTATTCTACTCCTCGACCGGTGTTAATTATTGGTAGAAAAAAGCATGTATATTTAATTTTGTGTTGTGGTATTTCCAATTTTCTTAAAATGTCATTAAGAAGGTGAAGGAAAATATATAGAGGTTACACAACGAGTGGTTGTTGAATATGGTATTTATTTCACTCGAGTTAGTAGATTTTCAAAAGTTACAAAAGACACGAACTTTAGCGAGTGTCTTTCTGTAACTTTAGAAAATTAACTAACGAGAGTGAAAGAAATACCATACTCAACAACCACAAGTCGTGTGATCTGTTATATGACCCATATGTAAAAAGTCACTCATTAATATTCAAAAATGACTTTATTTTTACAAATTTAATCATTTTCAAAGTTAATGTTTCGACAACAACTTCATGAAAAAATAAAATAGATGAAAGTATTGAGAGTATACAATATTGCATTAATTAATATAAATTAACCACGGACTATATGCGCGTAAGCATAACGTACGAAATCTGCCTCTCGCAACGATATCGAGCGTCTGTAGCAATTTTGCCTGAAAGTAGCGATCAAATCTTTAAGCATCATCTTCTTTTGGTACTGCCTTAATAACCCTCATTTCCCATCGCATAACCTCACAAAAGTCACCAACATTTGCCAGATGTTGACAGCAGACGACGTAAACGAAACAGCACGTGGCAAAAAGCGCGTGAAAAAATGTGTCCAGTCAATGTTCATCTTCTCGACCAATCAAAACTACGGAAGATCATATACCACGTGTGGTGTATCACTCATATTTATTCAACAGTCTGCATGTTTATACAATGATCTGAGAGTGGAATAACACAGCGTGTTGTGGTAGAAACAGTGTATAAACATTTACCTTGTACTTTGATTTGGAGCCAGTCTTCAGGACTTGCCACTTTTTCTTTTCATATTTATTTGTAGCTCTTGTTGAGAATACAATAGAACCATGGATATTTGTGTATTGGGTAGAATTTACATGAAATAAGTTACATGTACCAACTGATTCTGAAATTTTGTATTGATGAAATTGAACAATAGTTGACTTGTTTTATGTAAATGGTTCCCAAAGTAAAGAAACAATCTCCTCCAAATATGTATTGACTTCATATTAGCACTGCTACAATCAATCATCTTTTTACTGGTTTTTTGGGGGGTTTTTTAAAGGATTTTTTTATTTTGTTTAATTATTTGTTTTAGTAAATGAATTTTGCAGACCAATTTTATAGCTGTAGGGCGCATGGCCTCAGGCAATAGTTTAGATTTTAGGTTATAAAATATACCTGTTGCCCTGAATAACAGTCAACAACTGTATCTTTTATATTATTCTGAAATGAAGCAGGACAATTCCACACTACTTAATAAATGGTGTAATTGGTTTGTGTAAAATTTCTTACAGCGAAAAGACATGGTATGATGCTCTTAGGCCCTTGTGTAAGAATTTCAGGGTCAGGTCATAGTTCAAAGGTGGTTATACATGTAATTTCCTGCCCTTTGATAGTTGGACAAAACTTGTAATGATCTAGTTTCAAGCAAACAATGTAGGTTTTTGTGGGTGGAGAAGATATAACGAAATTTTAATCTGAGGTCTGATTTAGAGTGCACGGAAATTGATGATGTTTGATACATATTTTCACATGTTTGCATCATGGTTAAAGAGTTTCACAGAAAGTGATGATGTTTCACGCACATTTTCACATATTGACATGATAGATACACAAATCTTCGACAACCCATGACAATATGTGTCCCAGGATGCATCTGGTTAAGCTGAAAATAATGGCTACAAATAGTTCAATATATTTTTCAATTTAACAGAATTATGAACAAGTTATTTCATTTTATATTAATCACTCTTGTTGGCCCAGATGTTGGCATGTGTAAATTATTGAGTGGACAATTCATACCAATACTGATAAAGGGCCATAACTCTCAAAATAAAGGTGAGATTGAATTGGTTAAACAACTTGTCCAAGCCATCACTGTTTATAATTACTCATGATATTGAACGCAAATGGTGGGCCTACCCGTCTCTGCATGAAATCATTTGTCAGTTTTATAACATAGTACTGTAGTACACCAGTCTAAGCCTTATCATGGTATCACACAACATGTAAGAAATATAAATCTGTACTTACGAAGATCCCCTGCATTTGCTTTTGCCACTTTCTGTATGAAACAAATATAAAGACCACATGAATATAGGCATACCAAATGCAATTTCTCATTACAGTTTGTTACTTTTCTTTTTCTCTCTCAAAAGATTCACATCAACTTACCTTTAGAAATTACAACTGACCGCTCTTCCACATAATATTCATATTTCAATATAAATATATTTCATTTTTTTTTTTTTTCACAAACAAGTCGTCTGAGGAACATGATGAAAGAAGCTCCAGTTATTTTCAAGTTTGTTAAACAAATTTGAAACATTTGGAAGTATTCTTTATTTAAGACAAATAAAGAAATCTGTAACTTACTTTCATCATAATGAATTAGGTCCCATGTGTCTTATACACTCCACATTTCCAGTGGAAACTGCACATTGTGATTTGTTTAGTTGTTGCGTTCATGTATAAGTTTGCAGATTGTGTGTGAATTATACCACGATACAATATCAGAACATGTAATTTTTAACATACCTTTTCTCTCCGGACTATTTGGAGTTTTACTGTTTGGTAAACTGATATCAGCAAGAAAGTCGACTTCTTTCAGGTTTTTTAAGAAATGGATGTAACCAGTTTTTTATTTTTCAATTTCAATAAACAGTTAATAAACATCTAGAAATTCTGATGTAGCTGTGTTTTATGTACAGTCAGGGCTAGTGAAAATTTTCCGTAATTACTATGAAAACGGAAGATCAAGGACTAGTATTATTTGTCAAAATCTGTGTACTGTACTCTTCATATGAAATAGAAACACCCCTGATTGTTAATAAGCAAGGGAAGCAACTCCTGAATCCAGGTTTCCATAATAGTATTGTTACTTGTGCCGACTAGTTTCAGTATGCTTGGCAGGCCGTGGACAGAGCACAGCTATTTGGGTACAGCTACATGGTGATGATCGAGTTATTGTACTGCACCAGTCACAAAATAGTTGTGTTCTGACCACGGCCCACCTTGTGTGCTAATACATCATCACCATGTAGCTGTCACAACATAGTTGTGCTCTGGCCACGGCCCGCCTAGTGTGCTAATACATCATCACCATGTAGCTGTCACAAAATAGTTGTGCTCTGACCACGGCCCGCCTTGTGTGCTAATACATCTTCACCATGTAGCTGTCACAAAATAGTTGTGCTCCGACCACGGCCCACTTAGCATGCTACTCCACCGGCCATCACTATATAGCAGTCACAAAATAGCTGTGCTCTGGTAATGACCTGCCTAGCATGCTACTCCACCATCACTATATAGCAGTCATGAAATAGCTGTGCTCTGGTAATGACCTGCCTAGCATGCTGAAACTAGACAGCATAAGTATTAATACTTGGATTCAGAAGTTCCTTCTTTATTTTTATTGTTTTACCATAAGAGGGAAGAAGCTAGATTATGAATAACATTTCTCAACACTTACTCATACTTGCCAACTTTTTGAAATTTCCATGGGGGAGGTTACGAGTGCTCAGAATTAAATGCATAAATAAAGTATGTGCATATACACCCCAAGAAAAAAAAAACACTTTTAAATTGCATCATTTCAGCTGTTCTTTCAGGTGAAATCATCAAATCTTAGAAAATTGAAATAGTTTAGCAAATCCACTAGTTGAAATGCTCAATTTTAGGGTCCAAAATCGAGAGTCTCCCTCCTAAATAGGTAGAGTTGGCAAATATGTTTACTGGATGTGGGTCTTCAACCCTGTATTATGTTTCTATTTCTATTAACATCTAAGGTCATCTGCACTTCTGATTGTTAATAATAATAATATACAACATTTGATATAGCGCCCTATCTAGCTAACATAAGCCACTCTAAAGCGCTTTACAGGACATAGATATACAGTTAGGATATACAATCTTTGAGGAATTCGCAGGAGCTGCCTTATCAGGCGCTAACTACTAGTCCTATGCCACCTGGCTAATATCTCCCTATGTGTGTATGCCTACGTGTGTGCTGGAGATGTATTGTGTATTGTTGTAGGTAATGTGTGATAATGAGGATGCATAATACGTAGATCAATAATAGCATGTGTTAATGAAGGCACTGCATGTTCATAGGTTAATGAACATTTCCTTGTACTTGGTAAATGTAATGAAAACTGAAAATTCAAACCCAGTAAATGAAGAGTTTTTATTTAAATCAAAACACCCAATCAATCAGTGTAGAGAGACATTTTGGCATTTCCAAACCTGTACATTTGTCTTTTAACCACAGTAAACCAATTCAATATCTTGATTGGTCTAACGCCAGTGTGATTAAAACACAGTACATGTATATAAAACAGATTGGTGTAAAGCAAGTATGATTTGAAACACTGTATATAGAATTCAATTTTGGATTGGTGTAAAGCAAGTGTGTTTTAAAACACAGTTTATAAAACTCAGTTGCCAGATTGGTCTAAAGAAAGTATGATTTAAAACACTGTATATAGAACTAAATTTCCGGATTTGTCTAACACAATAAACTAAATCAATATCCTGATTGATCTAACACAAGTATGATTTAAAACACTGTATGAAGAATTTGTTTTCAAGATTTATCTAACGCAAGTGTGATTTAAAACACAATGAACTAATTCAATTTCCGGATTGATCTAACACAAGTATGATTTAAAACACTGTATGTAGAATTTGTTTTCCAGATTTGTCTAACACAAGTGTGATTTAAAACACAATAAACTAAATCAATATCCCGATTGGTCTAACACAAGTGTGATTTAAAACACTGTATGTAGAATTCTCTCTCTCGTTTTCCAGATTTGTCTAACGCAAGTGTGATTTAAAACACAATGAACCAATTCAATTTCCGGATTGGTCTAATGCAAGTTAGGATCTGGACCATGTTGTGTACCATTGGTAAATGTTAACAAGAGGCATTTTGATACTTTTATTTGCATTCAAAATGCAATTTGTCAACAAAAATTGTGTTTTATATTTCTGGTTGGTCACCATAACAAGTTCTTCTATGGTGACCTCTCTGTAAGGTGAAAAACACAAATTGAAAATGTGTGTAAAATTTCCGTGAAACTTTTAATTCGATATCCACACAAGGGTTGGTAGCTCATAGTCGTTCCTCATTTTATCAAAAGTATTTCGGAAATGCAAGACCGATCAGTTTCAAATCGGAGAATATTTATATGTAATGGATCTTGGTGTTTGCATTCACAAAAGGTGTAGAAATTGTACAATGGCAATGTAAGTCTCAGAATATGAAGATTTTTTACAATTTTATCAGTAAAATATCAGAAATTGTATCTATTTAGTATTTACATCTTCATTGCAGTGAAAATTTACAAAATGTTGAATATAGATTAACATATCACTTTTTATGATCGTCAATTTGAATGGTACTCTTTATATTCATCTCATTCAAAGCCATAGATTTTCATTTTCAGATGCAGACGAAACAGCGGAAGAACTTGTGGGTATTTTTCACACATTTTTTCTTTGTACATGTACATGAAGTTTAATTTACTCAACTACAATATATAAGTAATTTTTATCATGACATATTTTACCAGACAATAGCAGCAAATGGTAGAACTGCATTAAGTAACCTATTAAAAATGGCTCACACTATATATAGCTAGCCTGCCACTTGTGAAAGGTATCGGTATTTTGTCAAACTCATGAACAATTAAAATCCTCTTTATCTATTTATGGCATTTTTATGATATCATCTACCGGAATTGGCTTGATTAGTTAGAAGTTATGAATTATGGTTATTTGTCGACAAAAATGGCTGCTGAAAACAAGATCTGTGACGTGTGGCACCCGAGTTTGTGTTGTTCGAACAATGACGAAGCCTCCTTTTCTGTAATTTGAATTGTACTGTTCCCTGACCCAAGTTCAGGGAAAAAGTTACACAAATTACATACTGATATGTTGTACATGGTTGATTTGTGATTCTAGCAATAGGCTCACTAGACCATACGGTTGCGTTGTCATTTCCAGCGTAAAGCACGAATCCGCGGTGTTGTCATTACAAATGTGAGCATCATTTTTGTAATTCAATTTGTACTACAGTATTCCCCGACTCCGATTCAAGGAAAATATGTAAACAAATTATGTGTTGTTAAATATGGTTGGTTCGTGTTTCTAGTGTTAATTTAACTAGAAAGTTAGTTTATGTTGTAATTACCAACATGAAGCATCATTTTTTGTAATTTGATTTGTACTATTTCCCTGACTCCGGTTCAGGGAAAATATGTACACAAATTACAATCAATAATGTTCTATATGGTAGATTCGTGATTCTAGCATCAGACTAACTCATTATTACACTTGGTTCATTGGTAACTATTACATAATTATCTCACACTAAAACAGATTGAGATCCAACTCCAACATTATCCTTACTTTACTAGATTTGTATCTAAGACACTCATCATGTCCCTGTACTGAAATTATTGCTAACAAACGATTCTTTGTTCTTTGAGACAAAGAAAAGCATGACTTATTAAAATTTCCTTGGTATATTTGCACACTTTAAATTTGTATTACTAAGTTAGTTATCAATAAGATTTGACATATTAAACAGAAACTATAAAATCAAAGAGGAAATTAACAGACTGTGTGAACGACTTTCAATTTTTAATTTTTCTTGACTACAAGAGTACACCAAAATAGATTTAATATGCCTCCCATTGTTCCTTGTGGGATGGCATAAAACTTCATTAATTTATACAAGTCTAAAATACCTTGGTAGATTTTAAAATGTGAAAACATTTTGTTTCTGATTTTTTTTAAAACAATATCATCACAGGCAAATCTTTATTTCGGGTCTGCCTGTCCATGTTTAGATGAAAGGTTTCACTTGAAACACAGTCTTCCGATACAGTGTTCCTGCTGAATTTTAGATTTTTAGATTTTCGGGTATATTTGATACATTTTCAGGATTATGTACCCCTATGTACCTAGTTACAAAGGATAATTGTTGAGAACTGTGGGTACAATCAACAGTTTTAGAGATAAAACACTTTTATTTGGGGGTTTCTTGGAACGGTGAGATAATCACTCCCTACTGTACACATCTCTTAGCAACACACTCTCTATTCTCCCTGTACGTGTATTTTCACTCTATATCAAACCCACTCTATATGTATAACCATATTTATTCAGTAATAAGCCCATGCCAGGTAATAAGCCCACCCTTGTCATTTACATTTCAGTAAAATAAACAACCAATGCTATTTTACAGTCCTGCAATAAACCCACTTTCTTCTTTGAGTCAGATATTGGTGCTGGCCCCATTGGCTTATTACAGGATAGATACGGTATATATTATAAATATTATTTCTTGCATAACATTCTTTACATCCTGTCAACACGTTCCATTGACCCAATTTCACAACAACCTCAACAAACAATATTAAATCAGGCAGTAGTTTCTTATGACATAATGATAATAACATGTCATCATCACACAAAATACAAAGTCTATATACCTCTTAACATCTCTACTGCACACCGCTACACACTACACACCGCTACACACTGCCACACACCGCTACACACTACACACCGCTACACACTGCCACACACTACACACAGCTACACACTGCCACACACCGCTACACACTACACACTGCCACACACTACACACCGCTACACACTGCCACACACCGCTACACACTACACACCGCTACACACTGCCACACACCGCTACACACTGCCACACACTGCTACACACTACACACCGCTACACACTGCCACACACCGCTACATACCGCTACACACTACACACCGCTACACACTACACACAGCTACACACCGCTACACACTACACACCGCTACACACCGCTATACACTGACACACTTAGAAGATTTTACATTGGGAGTCTTCACACACCTTATTTTCTCTTTTGTACAAACAATTCAAGTCATGAACAAAATACAGAATACATTTCATAATGACATTATTTTAGCATTTAACATCAATTCTAATCCAATGCAAACTAAATACACATATCATTCAAGTCACTCTTCAATTTTTTGAAAAAAATCCAACCTCAAATCCAACTGTATACATTAAAACCACGATATACTGCCAAAATGTTTACCAAAGTGTTGGTGTTTGGCAATATATTAAAGAATGATTTAAAAAGAATTATTAAGAAAAAGGTTAATCGGGGAGTATGAAATGTGTTGATCAATGACTCAATATTATAAATGAATAACTTGTGCTACCAGCAAAAGGAAGTTGCTGGCAGTAAGTGGAGAGGAAAGGAAAGGGCATTATATCAAGGTTTCAGTACAATGTGATGATCATAAGATAATGAATTATTTGTCTGCTGGTACTGTACTTACATTTCTGTGTTTAGCTCCATCCAGATGCTGCTGCATAGGTCCTTCACCAGAACAGGTAATATTACATATCTGAAATTGACATTGATATGAAAATGCGAGAATATTGTCTTTTGTGTGCTATTTACGTTGAAAATTGGCCATTTTGAAGCAAGTTAACTAAATACACTCTGTATGCACCAACCAAATAAATATATAGCATGCTTAAACATTGTCATACCAATGTTTATTTGTAGAAAGGATTTTTTTGGTTGTCACATGCGAAGGCTTTCATTACTGCATGCTAACTGTCCACGAACACCATATTTTGGCTATATCTGCATAGCAACGCAACATTGTTGCTATGTTTTGGGCATCTTCGCATGGGCAATAAAAAAATCTGCACAAGGAAAGACAGCCCAAATTAACCAATATGATATTTGTAAAAGAAATTGGTTAATAAATTAAAGTTGAAAGTTTTTACTTCTTATGAGGCCGAAAAATTACCCATAATGCCCCAAGTCCTTTTAGGTTTGTTGCACAATTCAATTAATGCTACCAGTAGCATATCCTCATATTTCATTTCTGTCACTGTGCGAATAAAAATAGACTAATTAAACTATCTTATTCAGACTACCTTATTGATACTTTCAGTCTTGAATGATATTTTACAGAGAGCTGGACAAAAGTAACTATCTTGATTGCTGTCTGGAACGTCATTATTCCGAGTTATATATTAGTATTGGGATTAGTCACAAGGGCCACAGACACATGAAAATAGTGCCAGGTTTGTAACGAGATAATATCCAATGTCATAAGGACACCGATTACATTCATGAAATTAATGATTCTTCAAATGACGACAAAATTGTTAACAAGGGTACAGCGAAAGTGGAACCTAATACACCTGTCAGACATTGAATGAGCAGTTGTCTGTATGGTTGTACATAAAGGGCTATAACTCCATAAATAACAGTTAGACAATGGTGGTCATCGAACATGTCCGAGCCATTATGGCTGGCAATGAACCTTCTTATGAAGTTTGAAGTTAATCTGTTGAAAACTTTCTAGCATTTGAATAAAGGCCATAACTCCCTAAATCACGAAGTTTGAAGTTAATCCTTAGAAAACTACTCGAGATATCGAGTGACCACTGTTTGGGAAATTGAATAAAGGGCCACAACTCCGTAAATTACAGTCAGATAATTGCTGTTAGCAAACTTGTCCAAACTATTTTGGTAATAAACCTTTCTATTAAGATTGAAGTTAATCTATTGAAAACTACTTGAAATATATAGTCCGGACACTCTTCGCACTCTCCGGCCCGACCAACTACCTGCTCAGGTGATAACATAATACATCCCATCATTCGACGGGCGTATAAAAAATTGGCTATACTGAGAGTTCGTTGATGCCCTGATTGACAATGGGATTAATAACGTCAATATCTTTGAAGGGAGGTTGGAATGTTTTTTTAATTGTTTCTGGCAATGACTTTGTGTTGTGTAGGATAAGTGCTTTTTCACGCTATTTTTGGAATGGGGCCTGTGGGTTTTGAATTGGGGAAAACGCATTTAGGGTAAATCAAATTTTCCTAATTATCCTTTCTCTTGATATTTTTCCACAAGCATCATAAAAAATATTTCTATTTTTAGATATTGCAGCTGCAATGTCATTTGAATACCAGGTCAGATTTATTTAAGGCCGACTTTTTTTTGAAAAGACCTTAAGACCAATAATTTGTTTTAATATATCGCTTACAAATTACTTGTGTCAGAGAAATTGCATATGGGAAATCCGTGTGTTGCATTAATGATCTTATAACTCAATTCAAATTATGCTGTATTTATGGTCTTTAAACATATAAACTTTATTTATTTTACAACAATTATGAAACAAATATCTCCGACTTACTGTATACTGTGATATATTCACCACAGTTTAAATTTCACCTTTTTTGCCCTCTACATTAATAAGGGTCAGTTTATCATGAATGAGTCATAACATAGAAAGGCAAAAGAACACTGGGAGAATTTTGATATGGATTTTACTAGTGAAGGGTGAAAGTTCGACTAAAGGTTGAAATTGTCCTGGTATACAGGATATTAATCACCCTTGCTGGTTTGAATGGAAGCGCTCAGAGGGTCTTAACCCTTTCACCACTGTAGACCATAATAGACATATCCATATCAATGCATGGTAGAGTCTACTAAAGTTACATAGGGGTGATAATAAACTTTATTTATCGAGGATAAAAAACATGTCTAGCCAAAGGCTTATCTTCCACATGGTCCTCTTGCTAACCACAATTGTGATGATACACTACAGGCAAACCAAGTTCCATCTTCCAGCAGTGAAAAGGTGGTACGGAAAGTTAGCAGCATTGAACTATAGCTTTGATAAAAGTATTTTGAATTTCTTGTATTGTTTGAGGTATTGGTCAAGAGAGACATTATGAAAAATCTAAAAAGCCGACAAAAGGGTCACAACAGGATTATCAGGAGCCCCCGTCACCTCATCGTCAAACAACAGAGATAGAAAGAGGTGTAAAGGGTTAATGTGGGGCAAAACTAAAGAACTCGAATTGAAACCATGTGTTAAGGCATGTGACCAGCTACCCTTTCATGTCCGATCGGGGAAGCGAACCCCTGCCCGTTTAAAAGATATGCACGCTATCCACTGCGCCACCTGACTAACAAACGGTCCCGCTCACCTCACAATGTAACATGCTAGTATTCTTGGTAAGGATGTCATCTGGAGCCAGGTCCCTCTCCTCCAAAGGGATTTTATCATTTTCCGTGGTGCCCTCATCCAGGTCCATCCAATTATCTTCCTCAACAGCCGCTATAGGGACATGTGTAACAACCTTGATTCCTCTGGTCTCCTCTTCAGCTAAAATAGCATAGGGCAAACACAATTGTGGAATGTCGTGATTCAGTGTGATACAGTACATGTATTAAGGTATCAAGGTTGCCAATGACAGTGCTAGCCTTTTCAAACGAGGGGTAGTTTGCCGGTAATTGTCAAATTTTGCTACAAAAACAAATATGACAAATGTCTGCCGAACAAGATGAGCTTCCTTACATGTTCGAACCTCTGTATGTACAAGAACTCCACATAATAAAGCGTTTTGTCTGACCATGTTTAATCATCAAGAGTGGTTATGCTGTACAGACGTTTTTGTAACAGTCTATCCTTCAAGGCTTGTGTTCGGCAAAGCTGCTGATCGACGTTAAACTCTACATATTGTACAACGATTGTATTTTCGGTCTATTGTATTGTTAAATCATTCAGAAAACAGCCCCTTTTTTTTATCTTCTGAACATTGTTTTGTATATTTCAATAGTTGACTGAAATATCTCAATATATCATTGTCAAAAATACGTCCGTTTTGATTGAAATATTGCAATATGTCAGTGATGAAAACATTTCTGACATAACTGGTATCATGATGATATTGCACACCCGTAGAATTAAGTATTTCCTAATCATTAGCTGATACCTGATTTGGTCGTCACTGTGGTGAAGGGACCTTGATCCTTCGATGATTTCTGTGATTGATCACTTTCAGCTGCCATGAGTCTTTGAGTATGAAGCATGCCCCTGGTATGTGTGTAAAAACTCTACAAAACAAGCATCGACACCAATCAGGAAAAGACAATATTCACCTCAGTGAAAGTCCATAATTGATCAATATCGATTGTTTTATCACATTACATATCATTGGAGAATTAGAACTTAACACAAAGAAATCAATATCAACCTGAATCCACGATGGGCTTATTGAACAAAATAAGCTTAAATGTATTTATAGAACTTATTATATAAGCAATATTAACATTGCACTGGTTTTTACATGTGTCTGACATAAAATAAGTTATAGTGGAAAATAGTCCCCTTGCAGGAATAGTGCCAGTAGTTATAAAGGGACTTGATACGTTCCAATGACCCAGAATGAAAAGAAATACCCCATGGTCCGACCCCTAGATCACTTATTATTGTCAATAATAAGTGATCTTGGGGTCAGACCATGGGGTATTTTTTTCATTCTGGGTCCTAGTTCGGAATGTGTCAAGTCCCTGTGGGTAGTTAAGAATTTGTGGTCTCCTCAAGTCAAGAACAGCTACAAGGGTAGACAAGGCTACAGTAATTCCTTGATATAATGCCCCTCGTTCCATTAATTGCCAATTCGCTTACTGCCAACATCATTCAAGGTCCTTTGTTCTCACAGTTTTTAAAGAATTGTTTTTCCCTGAATTTTCTTCAAATCCTTTATAACACCAAAATTTCTCTGAACAAGTGCGACCAGGTTTTACTGTGTGTATTAAATACAGAACTCGTGAAGTTATCGAATTACGACTAGAAATACAATGTATGCACTGGCCTAACTTACGATAGGGTTAGTGAATGATTGGTCACAGTAACGACAGTATGATGTGTCTTCCTCCTCCTCTTCATCTTCTTCTTCATCTCTTTTCTTTCTTTTTATATCTGCCAATACTTTCTCCGCATCTTTCTTCTCTGTTTTTTTATTGGCTGATATTTCATCCGCCTCCCTCTTTGATTTCTCAAGTTGATTTTTATGTAATAAACCGCTCTCATGTTTGAGCAATGTCTGTGAATGCAATTTTGTTTCATATTAAAACCATGTGTGAGAATTATAATTTGAAAGAAAAGACTGTTTTAGTTCATAGATATATTGAAACTAGAAGCACAGCACAATATATATATATGACATGTCAATGATTTTGTTTGGTCCGTTGGTATCATGTGACAAAACCTGTTAATTTGATTGGTTCTTTAATTTGGTATCAAGTGACAATTTAAGTAACAGTTGACCTGGGAAAGTAAACATAAGCAGAACGTTGGAATAAATAAAATAAGAACTATTCAGGATATTTATTAATTTCGATTTTTGTTTTTTTAGTTATATACATGCACATGTCATATTACAGTATATGGCCAATCATGTAAAAGTTCCTGATTTACATTTATTTATTTTCTTATATTTTTTTTTTTATAAAAATGAAAATTAATTATGCCCATGATATATACATACCTCTGAATTGATGAAGATGTGGCACTGCTCACAGAAATTACGTCTTTCTACTTTTAAAATGCCTTTTTTTGGAACTGTATTTTCTTCTTGCTTTCTTTCCTTTTGTTCATCTTCATCAGATTTCTTATCACAGTCTAATGTTATCTTGATTTCACTCCTTGATGTTTGGATTACCTGCTGAACTGCATCAGGCCTAACATTCTTTGCATTTGAATCCATGTCCTGGTTACATGTACTGATATTGGTATTGGCTGAACTATCACCAAGTCTATTAGGATCATTAATCCCAGCACCTCCTGTAGCCGGTGTCCTTGCTTGGATGGGTTCATGACCAAACTGTTGAGTTTGCTGATCCCCAGGTGACGACATCGGGCATTTTTGTACCTGCTGGTGTTCTTGTCTTGGAAGAGGAAGCAATGGTGTTTTAAATTGTTTGCTTACACCTCTTTCTATCTCTGTTGTTTGACGATGAGGTGACGGGGGCTCCTGATAATCCTGTTGTGACCCTTTTGTCGGCTTTTTAGATTTTTCATTATGTCTCTCTTGACCAATACCTGAAACAATACAAGAAATTCAAAACACTTTTATCAAAGCTATAGTTCAATGCTGCTCACTTTCTGTACCATTTTTTCACTGCTGGAAGATGGAACTTGGTTTGCCTGTAGTGTATCATCACAATTGAGGTTAGCCCACAATGAGCTGTGAGACATAATCACATAAAATTTTCTAATTTTCCCTATTACAGGTGTCTCTTTCTATTTCGGTCAAACCTTATGAAAAGGTAATAGGAGAAATTAAAGCTACTCTCTGAAGTTATTTCCCCCCAAGCGCTAACATCAGGGTCAACAAGAATGATTAATATAAGTTGAAATAACTTGTTTCATAATTGTTGTAAAGCAGGATGTGGTAACTTCATGAATATGGAAAACGTGGCTTAATGACTGCAAAAAGTTTTGAAAAATCAAAATGGTGTGTTATTGTTGGAGGAAACCGAGATCATGTCTGTGGAAGGAAAACAATTTTGCATACATATAGGAAGTTTCTAAAAGAACAAGAGCTGTTGGAGAACAGCAAACCTCGCCCGTTGGTGATATATGTTATAAGATAGCAAAATATATCAATAGAAACACATGTAAAGTAAAACCTTGATATAATGCCCATCATTTTGTTTGCTACCTCACCTACTGCCCACATATATCAATGCAAGGTCCCTTAACTTTTTTTCTTCTTCAGAATTCCTTTATATGCTTCCCTCAATTTATTGCCAAACCCCTTTATAATGCCAACATTTCTTTGAACAAATGGTGGCAATATAACCAGGTTTTGCTGTACCTTAACATGTTGTACATTTCAAAAGAAGAGATGACCAGACAATGTGAAATGGGGAGACTCAAGCTCTGTATCATAAAATGTCCACAGCAGCTTGTTAGTATATTGTATATATAAATATATATACAGATCTAGATACACCTGTAGACTTGAGTAGCATATAGATTTATCAAAATTATTTGCGATGGCTTCTCATTAAAAAAATAATTGCAAGTAAGGCCTATTGCGCATGACTATCAGTTTGAGAAAGCATTAGGCAGAACACTTAACAGACTATTCCACTGTAGTGTTTAGGTACTTGCAAGGGGGATTTACAATAAACAGAGACCGGTTTATAGTTAAAGTGTTACAAAAACATTAAAAAGCAGACTATTATATAATTTTATTACATACTTACTAATAAATACAGGTTTTTAGTATATGCGATACCACACAATTGCTCTTACCCATATCAGCACTCGCCGTATCACACCCCAAAAGCTGTATCAGCCCGCATAACTTGTATCACACCCCAAAACCTGTATCAGCCCGCAAAACCCGTATCACACCCCTTTTGGAAATTTTTCGTTTTTCAATATTTCAAAAGAAAAATAGATTATAAGATAGTAGCTTTTATTAGTAAGTATGTATATTTGTAATAAACAGAATAAAACATGCCTTTTTCCATATCAAACCCATATAGGCCAGTATCAACCCAAGACTGCAATATCAGCACAAGGGCCGAAGGCCCGAGGGTTGATATTGGTCGAGGGTTGATACTGGGTGTGATATGGAAAAAGGCATGCATTATTCTCTATGTATTGATTTCCGGGTCAAGATTATTTTTTTCAGATACAGTTGTTTTTGGCCCCAAAAATATGAAAATATGGTTCAGTACAGTGATTGCTTCCACCTCATATAAATGCTTCCACCTCATATAAATGCTTCAACCTCATATAAATGCTTCAACCTTATAAAAGACAACAGTGTATGGAGTGTGATGATTCAACATAGCCCGATTATCCTAACACCAGACTTAGACATTTTGACATGTAGATGTCTGGTGTGGGGCCTGATCATGAGCGCACGGCTATATGGACATGGAATTCTCCAACAAGAATAATATATTGTTTTCAGTCCGGATCAGTAGTTTGTTGATAAGTCAACCAATGACTTAAAGTCTAGAGGCAGAGGAAACTTGGGCTAGGCTAGGCAGTGTTCAAACCCAGGACCCTCAATAACACCACAGATACTAGCCTTGTCTGTCAATACACCTATATTATAATCAAGGATTATATCATAGGTGTATTGACAGACGAGGCTCTACCTGTAAATAGACGGACGCTCTTCCAATTGAGCTACCAGCTGGTGGCCGCTGATCGACCCAGTCCAGTTCTGTAACAATAAACACCATTAAACGTGTATTATGACCCAACACCTCAATTTAGCTCCAAATATGTCTGTAACAATAAATTCTTATGTCCCGGGAAATAAATCACTTTATCAGTCAATTTTCCAACTTCGCTATCACATTATCTAGTTCTACCATATAGTGACCACCTTCAACTAATGGAAGATTTTGTCACGAAGTTGGGTTTATGCAGCACAAATGACAGACTATATATATTACATAATAATTATTAATTAATCACTCAGTTAAAGTTAAGAGAAGGAAAATTTAGTTCGAGTAGAGTCCGAGCAAGCCAGTGATTGGGCAGCCCCCACCGACAAAGCTTGTTCGGAAAAGAAGAGAAGTAATAAATTATTATGTAAAGTCTGTTGAAGTAACTAATTACTCTGCATCTTCAATTTTATAGGTGTGTCTAGATATGGAAAGAGATGTTTTGAAAGAGTTGAAAGTGGGTGCATTAAGTGATTAACGATGTCAGATGGTAATCTGTTTATGTTTTATCGTGTTTTATCACCTGACTCAAGCCGTGTGTTTTCTGGTGTCTTCTTCAAAAGTTTTGCAATGTCTTCTTCAAAATGGTCATGTTGATGTTGTCGATACCGACTTTCCTCTTGGTATCCGTACTGCGGCCCTCCGTATCGACCGTCATGACCGTAGTTAGCTCTTGATCTAGAGCCGTTCAAGTTACCACGTCGTGGTCCTGGAGAAACAAATCTACTGGATACGTTTCCTCCTTCTCTATTGAATGTGCCTCTTTCTCCTCTAAACCTATGGTTCATTTTGTGGGGGGAGTAGAACACATTACAGTAATAAAAAGAAAAATATCACAGTGGATCGCACTCCAGACTCGTACACATCCGCCATTAAGGCTAACTTTTATAACACGCTCTTCGATTGGCTAATACTCAGTGAAATTAATTACAGCCCGGTGAAGCCCGACACTGTCCGGGACAGCCCAGTACGTCGGGGAAGTCATGAAGATATCACAGTTGCTTAGAATATCTCATTCTTGCAGAGATACGCCTCTGATTCTTGCAATGAAAAACATATGCATTCAAAACAAATAGTGAATGGAGCTCGTCAACTGACAATTGAATTTGTCAACAACGTTAACTGATTATGTCAATCAGGAAAAAAAGAATTTTCCTGATATTTTTACTTTGTCAACCAGGGACAGTATACACTATACGTCCCTGTGTCAACTGGAGATTGTTAATTTGGCAGTGCAGAAAATTAATTTAGTCAATTACATAATTTGAATTTATCAACCATGCTCATTGAATTTGATATCGTTTAATTTATTTGTCGGAAAAAAATGAATTTTCAACAAATAAAATGGACTGAATTTATAGGTAAATTAATTTTGTCAACCAGAATTTTTTTATTTGTCAGTCAGATCACGAAATAAGATGTTATCTAAGTCTGTGGTCAGAAAGTTTTATTTTACATGTGTTAATTCAGTGAATTGAAGTTTAAACCAGAATAATTGAATTTGTCGATCATGTGAATTTAATTTGTCAACATTGTATGCCAGGTAAAAAGAATGTCAACTGAAAAGTGAATACCTAATATGTTGATAATGTCAACTGAATTTGTCAACCATGAAAGTTGAATTTTACCTAAATTTTTGTTGATAAGATAAAATAAATTTGCCAGCCTGGCAGTGGGTTTTTTGAATTTGTGAATCATGCAAATTAATAGATTTGCCTTATCAATAAATTGAATTTGTCAGCTATGTTAATGAAATTTGTAAACAGGTACGAATATGTCAACCAAAAAAGTTTCACTGGCAGTCCAGTCTACACCAGATTTGTCAACCAGGTAAATGTATTGTTAACCAGGTAAATGAATTATCAACCAGGTAAATGAATTGTCAACCAGGTAAATGTATTGTTAACCAGGTAAATGAATTGTCAACCTTATAGATTGAATTTGCTGCCTGGATAATTGAAGATGTCAATCGCATAAATTGAATTAATTTGTCAACCAGGTAAGTTGAATTTGTCGACCAAAAAAATTGAATATCGGTCAGGAAAATTGAAATGTCCGAAATGATAATTGAATATGTCAGTAAGGTATATTAGCTTGTCAACCAGAAAAATTGAATTTGTCAATCATGTCTATCGAATTTGTCATCCAGGTAAATTGAATTTTTACAAGAAAAAAAATGAATTTGTCAGTCAGGTTATATATGTATTGAATTTGTCAGTCAGGTATACATGTATTAAATTTGTCAGTCAGGTATATATATGAATTGAATTTGTCAGTCAGGTATGTAAATGGAAATCATCAACCAGGTAAATTGAATTTGTCACTCTTAAACATTTTATTTTCAATCGGTTGAGTTTATTTTTTCAACTGAATTTGTAAACCAGGTTAATTTAATTTGTTGATTAGGTAAATTGAATTGTCAAACAGGAACATTTAAACTGAATTTGTCTTGGACACATTTTCATTACAAATCACAAGAACATTGGAATTAAAAAAACAAAACATTTTATTGTCCACAACACCTTGTACACACATCCACACCTAGCCATCATAAGCAGATCACCCAGAAACCATTTTTTCCACCGTGGTAGGAGGACCATGCTCTGTTCTCAATTCCACATAAATATACACACACATAGATAGATATAACATAATTACCATACATATTTAAGAAAATGATATCTTGGGAATACAAATTTATATGTAATATAGATGAGAAAGTTTCAAAATGAACAAAGATGGTGATTTAAAATTTCAATAAATCTGTGTTTGTCCTCCAAATTTATGCAGTTACCTGTTTATTTAAAAACAAATATTTGTTTAACATTTTGAAAATATGTGTCAATTATATTTTGAAATTAATAATTTATAAGAAATTCTGATAATCTTCACTTTGAAATAATTGTTCTATCACAAAAAAATCCATATTTTGTTATATATATTTATAGACTGATGGTTATTTCATTGCTCTAAGGTATAAACAATACCAATTTCAGTAATAAAAAGAACAAGTCTAGATGATCGTACAGCCCAACGTTTACACCAAATTATAATGAATCGTTCATCATAACAAAAAAAGACATGTACTCTTCAGATCCGGAATATCTTCATGGGTATATATAGGACATTATGAACTCCACATACTGTTCGTTCATTACATTGCTAATAAATCTCGTTTTCCGGGAATGAGACAGAAAAATTGACAAGACTTTAAAATGAAGACTTAGTTGAGGCACAAAGTCTACACTTTGCAACTTATGAAATCACACTTTACACAGAACTGTCCGAACTAATAAGGTTTCCATTGTACACTAAAAATCAGGGTCAGACTAATGAGGTTCCACTCTACGGAGGAACCTAAGGTAAGGGCAGTTTGGTTCCACTTTACACATAAATTCAAATGTCCAAACTCATGAGATGCGTTTTTAAAGCGATACCAAAGTGTCTCGACTATAGAGGTTTCACTGTTCACTTCGTTATGAAAAAAATATTTAAAAAAAACATGAATCTGAAAATTTCCCTTGTTCAACATACCTATGTAAATTGAAAGCATGTCCCTATTTTAACAATGTGCATGACACATCATGAATACACAATCTGAATTGTTAACATTTTACTACTTTAGTTACATAATATTATTGATTATGATATATTTTTCTAGGATCAAAGAAATTTCGAGCTTTCCATATATATCTTTGGTGAAAGATAAGCACCAAAATATTCATTAGTTACAGTTTTTGGCAGTGGTATAGGGATCCTTATAAGAAACACTGAGTTCATTTGCTAAGGACAGACAGCTGAAAACAAGACAATCTCCAAAGGTAACGGGCACGTCTATCCGATGATTTAATACATGAAGAAAAATCTCAATATTTTCTGCAAAATCAGCTTGTTGTCATAATGCAATGTATACAAAATGTAGCATCTCAGTAACACTGACCGTCACTATTAGTAATAAGTTCGGGGGGGGGGGGGGGGGGGGCACATAACCTCTTCAAGGTTGGCCTATTGCAGGACAATAAATTTCATTGTAAGTATTTCTACTGAACTGTAATTGACATGGGTGGGCTTATTGCCAAATAAATAACGTTATGTGCTATTCAACAGATTGCTTCAAAACCTGACATATGTCGTCATTGGTCATTAAAGGACTGGGTCAACTGTTGTATGTTTATTGTGATTTGATCATGGCATGACGCACAAAATTTATTTTTCAAATATCTATTGTAACATCAAAATTGATGTTAAGCTGATATCTAGTCATGAGTTCAATACTACTGACAGAATATTGAATATTTAAGGTCAAAACTGACATGGGCACAAATGAACCAACATGATTATGAGATTCTAGGCAGGAGGATACTATTATGTAAGGTCCAAATGATAGATGCTGTAAAATCACAAATTTTTGTGGGGTTTTTAATTTCATTAATTTCCTGGGTTATCTTCATCCACTAATTCATTTGGTTCAGTAAGTTATTACAAGTTTGACTTAAAGCAATTCTGCATTTGAGTGGGTACTTGTAATCCAAAAACTTAAGAACACACAAAATGATGGGCTTTTTTCAAGAAACTATAAAATGTTGGCCCCACGAAAAATATCTGATTCCGCAGTATTTTACTTTATCCCACAATACAACTACTAGATAGATAAGAGAATACACATACAGTGACCCCTAAGGTCCCATGTCACATCCAAACTACAAACAACTAAAATATTTAACATAAACTCTTACTAACTACAGATACATGGAATGTTGAATGTAACTTGCAAACAAACATCAACTAAAATGATTGTAACATAAATATAAATAAGAATAAATAAAACAATGGCCCTTTATGTATACCAATGAAACGTGCAATTAAAATTGAAATCACAAGTTCACGTAATGAATACAATAAAATTAGTGGTGTACACTGACAAAACAGTCTAAACAGATTGTGTGTTAGAACACTTAAAACTCTTAACTGTGCAAGTCAAAATACGTATACATGGTATATAAAAAAAAATCCAGTAGTTCCGACATTCGAGGTAAAGTTGAGACAAATTTTTCTTCTTTTTATCATGTTTCATTTAAACTAGCACTAATCATATTTAACAGGATTTAATATCAAAACATTGTTCATTTGTAACTGCGAAACATATACATATTTCACCAGAGATTTTTGTTTTACATCAATTCACATGACATTTTGAGAAGAAGCCATGTTGGTTGGTTTATTGCTCATGCAGTTCAGGATGTACTCTCAGGGTCCTGGCCCTATTCAAATTGTTTGTTCAACTACAATCTTGAGGCAATACTGTTTATGTTGTGAAAGTAATTCAGTTTCTTCAACAAACATTATTGAGACATCAATTCTATTTCATCACTTTAACAGTTTAGCCAACACGACGGCCATTCCTGCTCATTTTGGAAAACACTTTCCCATAATGCTTTGGAATATTCAAAATCTTCCCTGAAATTTCCTGGGAACAAATTGTATGAAGCAGAATCACATAAATAAGTGATCAAATAAAACTTTAACTTGAAAACTAAATCAGTAACTGCATTAAGGATCCTTGTCCAACAGCAAGAAAAAGAATAGATAACTTCCCTGTAGGTACATATAGTAACTTCCCCTTAATTTCATTTTGGACATAATTTAAGTGGAGTTGACCAGGGCCCAATTCATTTATCGCGATCAAAACGGTTGAACTGGTTGGACCAGAATTGTTTGTTTATGAAATAAGGTCGGACCTAGTAATCTGATTCTACTTTCAGGCGAGCCTTCACCTGAAGGCTCGCCTGAAAGTAGTCTCTGGCGGCGTTTCCTGCCAATTCCAAAACTTCAGCAGCCTAGCAAGGCCTGCATAAACATTTGCAGGTCCGCCAGGACTTCTACCCGAAAATGTAACATTAAAAAACAGAAAAAAAAACGGTTAAACCAGATGTGGGAAAGGGGCCCACTGAACAACTGCTGATTTTGTAGCTCATTTGGTTAGAGGCACCGCATAATGTGATGAGATTTTCGGAATTTGAATTCCAGTCTGGCCATACTTTCAGAACACTCTTGAAATTTCTTTTTTGTTGATTTCATCTTCATTGGTTATTTCTTCATAAATATTCTGCAAGGTATGAGTGTGTGTTCAGAAACAATTTACTAGAGCAGGTAATAAGGTTTTCACTTCGAAGTTACAGGTTTTGGAGCTGGCACAAGGATCCTTAACAAACACATTTTAAATGAGTCACCAACAAATTGTATTAGTACAGCAAATCCATAGCTTGCCTCATTGATTCAATTTCACACATACCAGCCAACCATGGCATGAAAAAAACATTTGCATCTGCGAAAAAAAACCATAGCCGCGATTGTTTTATGTTATACAGAGCTGAATTTCAGGGACACAATATGTCTTGCAATCCTTATCCTCAGGGAAAGTGGTAATAATGAGTATTAAAATTAATAATTTTCACTTTGAACATTAGAAAATGAAAAGGTTGTATCACATCCCATTTTTTTGTCAAGTTTAAGTTATTCACAATAACTATGAAGCTTCCCCATAGAAAAAAAGTAAGAATACACACATTAATGAAACTGGGGTCTTGGACAAATCATCCTTAAAATGTCAGGGGTTATACTGCGTTACATTCTCTGCACCCCTGAAATATGTCATGGCAAATTTAAGGCTCTCTATATGTCCCTTCGTGTAAGTATAAGCAGACTAGTTCGATAAATTGATGTACATCAAGAGAGTTGTGAGGCAGTGTAGTGGTAAAATGGACTGGTGTTGTAGTCAGGTGTTGATCCTCTGTTATCTTCAATTATCAAAGGACAAGTATCAGTCTAGCGATTGGTCAAGTTTTGTTACCTGAAATCAATCAAATAGCTAACCTCGTGGCATTGATTTCGTCATGACGTAATTCCTGGCCCCAAGATCATGCAACAATAGACTTAAGATTTTGTTTAGCCGATCACGTAAGACGTCACTTAGCCAATCACATAAGACGTCACTTAGCCAATCATGTAAGACGTCACTTTCAATAAATTATTTTTCATTGGTTCAGTCAAAACATTAGACAATTTTAAAACTTAAATCGTTCCATGACCTCGGGCCCAGGGTTGTAAGAACACAAGTGAGCATAACCTCTGTAATTTCGAGGATAGGGTCTAACTTAAGTAGGCTTTACTGAATTGAGATTCTCATACACAAAACACACATTACGTGGTGGTATTATTGTTTGTACTGAAATTAAGAGGTTGGTCTCCATGGTTACTCTCTATAGGTTCATCACTTATTTCACACTTCTGCTGAAATTCCGTCTTGATTGAGTTTTGTTTTACCTCCGAGTTCGGAGGCGTTTCCATCATTGTACTGTCTGGCAAATGACTTTGCCCTCGTGACGAATAACTTTGACCATTTAAATGACCTTGACCTTGTAGATGAGCTGGTACAAGTCGATTTACATAGGGCTTACTGTTCAGATGGGCAGCCATCTGCATTGACTGACCGCGGAATGAGTCCGAGAGGTCAGAGGATGAAAGACTAGCGGTATTTTGACCATGTATACTTGGAGGTAGATGTGACATATTTTGTAATATGTGAGTTGAGAGATTGAACGGCGAGCTGTGACTAGGCAGAAAGTTTGCCGCGGGTAAACTAGCATCAGTTCTACTGGTAGATGAGGTAACAGCATCCATAGCACCAGGTGCTTTTCGCGAGAAATTTGATTGGCTGAGCATTTTCTTGGCTGGGAATCCTCTTGCACGCTGATTTTGAAACCAGATTGTGATTCTGTCGACTGGGGCACCAAGTTTCTCGGCCAGTAGCGCCCGGGTCGACAGGTTTGGATTTGGGTCCTCCTCGAAGAATCTGCAAAGCACCATCAACTGGAAAACGGTGAACTTTTCCCGGCGACCAAATCCATCCTTGGGGCCAGTCTTCTTATATTCTGAAATAAATAAAAATAAATAAAGTTACAGCATCTATTATAATGTTAAAATTTAATTTTGAGAGTATTATTCAGTATTCTGAATATAATTTTTTATACTGTGAATACATATTCTGAATTCAAAAGTAAGATGGTGTGTTTTGATTACTTTGGGTTTTTTTGCTAGACAAAATTAAATAGAATCTATATAACTCTTGTGTGATGTAAACAAAAATCTCTGCCCGAGGGTTATGCTTTTTTAAGTTTAATACAAGGCTTTGGTTAGTGCTAAACTTCAAAAAACTTATCTTGAAAGTTGATAGTTCTCTGTCTTCCCTCACATAGAATTGATGATATTATTTTTTCTTTCCCTCCAATACGAAAAAGTTCCAATTTAAGTTGAACACAATGTACCACACAAATATCAATGGTGTAAAAAAAAAATACTTGTGACAAAACTGATGATGCAATCTACAGTATTTGAAAGTAGAGATGTTTTCAAAATAAAAGAGTGTTAGTCTTAGCAGGTGAGTATATATATATAAATTATTTTCCCCTAAACAAAAACAGAATATATTTGTAAAGTGACGGAGAAATGATCTTTCTCCTTTTCTAAGATCTTGACATTCTGTTTAATTATTCTTTTCCAAAACCATGAATTAATCTTAGGTTTCTGTAGGGAATGATGTTTTCCCTCTTCTACGATTGCAACTTGGCCGTTCCTCTTTAGAGTTACTTACCTTTTCCTTTCCATAAGAGAATTTTATTCCTCCTTTTATACCATCATCAAAATGTTCCTTTTGTTTCCATCAGAGAAATGGTGTTTCTCTCATTGGTGAACATGACTAACCCTTTTTTTATTTTGAGATACATTTTTTTTCTTTTCTATGATTGTTAATCAACTTATCTTATAATTTCTGTACAAGTTGAATTTTTCTCCTTTGATACAATCATCCTGACTTACCCTTAGTTTTTTGTAGGAGAGACATGGTGTGTTTCTGTTCATCCGTACTATCCAGCCACCGTCGCATGCGTACGTACGGCACGCGGCCACGTGGGCTCAGTTCGTGCCATTGTTTGTTGCGACCCTTGTCTAACAGAAAACTCAGGTTTCCCTGACTTGTCTTCTCCATAATATTCTTGGCCGCAAACCTTTGTGAGATCCCAAACTTCTCCAAAACGTCTTTGAATTCTTTAACTGTGCTTGGTATATCAACTTCACTCTAAAAACAAATTAAAGAAATTTTACTTTCAGAAAAGTTTAATAAATTAACTAAATTTTACTTGTAGAACTGTTTGATAAAACATGTGTTTTAATGATCATGTACAAGGTTTTGTTTGCCAATTCAAAGTATCTTGTATATATCTGTATGTGTAACAGTTGAAAATAATTCAAATCAGAATACATAAACATAATGCACTGCTAGTAAAGCTAATGATGTGAAATTGCTATATATTTCTTATTTCTGTATACTGAGAAATATTCGGCACGGTTTAACTTTTTCCTTTCTTCGCCTTTCTAAACTAGGGCAAATTCTTATGACAGCGAATACAAGTACACAATATACAATTTACATATTAAGTACTAGTGTTTGTAAAGGGAAAAATAACGTCTTGAAGAATACAGACATTCACAGTGCACGGCTAATATTTGACTTTAAGTACCTTCAATTCAGTTTGAATCAAATACTCAAACTTGCTACCATATTGACTCTCACAGAGATCGATACCCTTACAATACTGATTCACATAAGGGAGGTATATATATATACTTTGAAATCAAACTACATTCTACGGAGATCAAGGGTTGGTTTTGGTTTTATAGGGCTAAATGTATAATGTCTTATCAACTGCTTATAGAAGGTCATTTAAGGACGTGCCTCAGCTCTGTATGCATGCATTTGTGTGTGTGCCGGGGGCAGGGTATGTTTATGTATTTGCCTCCGTGTGATAGTGTGGATCTGATGCTGACTTTATAGATCTATCTCACTGAAATACCATGCCCAAGGCACCCAGTACAGCATTTCGCCCGGTCAAATTTAACTGACAACGGGTGAACTAGTTGCTGCTAAACATTAAGCAAGGAATACACAACTACCATTTTTAAAGCCTTCCTCACCTGGGCGAACGTTCAATATAAAAGCCAAAAGTGAGGTGGTGCCAAGCAATAAGGCACTAGGAAATAAAAAGAAGACAGAAAAAACAGAGGTCAATCAGTCAGTAAATCCCTGAAAATACTGATCCCAAAGGAGGGTAACTCCTAATAATACTAACCCATGAAGAGGTTATTAACAATATGTAATGACCCCCCCACAAACCCAAAAATGTTGACCCCAGCAAATATCAATCAGAAAATAGTGCCTAGTATTTACCTAGAGGTCAATACATGATATCAAAGACCCCGAAAAGGTGAATTCCTTCATAATACTAACCCAAGAAGAGGTCTACCTATAACAATACTAGGCCTGGAGGAAGTGAACATCCAGACAATACGGAGCCCAGATTTGAAGCTGTCGAACTCGGACAAATTTAACCCAAGAAGAGGTCAACTTAGAGGTCAAATATATATAAACACTGTTATGTAAATACACTGTAATGACCTAAGAGATTTATTCTGACATTAATGACACCAAAAGAGGTCAAACCCCGGACCAATATTAACCCATGAAAAGGCTGACTTAGGAAAATACACTGTTAATGAAGCTACACTGTATATGCGTAATGACCTTGGAGGAACACTTAAGGGAAACCTACATATAAAATTTGAGAATGATCCCTCTAGTACTTCTTGAGAAATAGTGATAACAAACTTTCACTATCAAAATCCAAGATGGCTGCTTGTCGGCCATGTTGTTTATCCCCTCAGTCTCAAAGGTGCCCTGCACAGCTAAGAACTAAGGGGAAGCTACATATAAAATTTGAGAAAGATCCCTCTGGTGCTTCTTGAGAAATAGCGATAACAAATTTTCACTATCAAAATCCAAGATGGCTGCCTGTCGACCATGTTGTTTATACAATCAGTCTCAAAAGTTGCCCTGCACAGCTATGGACTAAGGGGAAGCTACATATAAAATTTGAGAAAGATCCCTCTGGTGCTTCTTGAGAAATAACGATAACAAATTTTCACTATCAAAATCCAAGATGGCTGCCTGGCGGCCATGTTGTTTATACGATAAGTCTCAAAAGTTGCCCTGCACAGCTATGGACTAAGGTGAACCTACATATAAAATTTGAGAAAGATCCCTCTGGGGCTTCCCGAGAAATAGTGATAACAAACTTTCAATATCAAAATCAAAGATGGCTGCCTGTCAGCCTTGTTGTTTATCCGATCGTCTCAAAAAATGCCCTGCACCGCTTAGGACCAAGCTCGACAATAATGACACCAAAAGTCCAATATCAATTTAAGAAGTTGTCAACTTATTAATTATGAAAATCCACTGAAATGACCTTGAGAGAATATCCCGTCAACACTAACACCAGAAGAGGCAATATTAACTGAGGAAACTGTCAACTTACGATAATACAGTACACTGTTATGAAAATACACTGAAATGACCTAGGGGTAATAGCCTGACAATACTAACACCAGACGAGGCAATATTAACCCAAGAAACAGTCAACTTACAATAATACACTGTTATGAAAATACACTGAAATGACCTAGGAGTAATATCCTGACAATTATGACACCAGAGAAACAAACCCTGACGATAGTATCCCAAGAAAAGGTCAACTTAGGCAAATACACTGAAATGACATTTGAGGAATAGCCTGACAATAATGACACCAGAAGAGGTCAAGCCCTGACAATACTAACCCCTGAGGAGGTGTTGAACTGGTCCTGTAGTTGCTGGTAGATATTATGGAATTGACTGAGTGGTTCTCCATCTCCACTGTCTGTTTCCTCCAAACCACTGTCTGGGGGCAGAGGATCCTCCTGGTTAAAATATAACACATACATAATTTTGTATTTTTTGACAAAAAGTTTATAAAATGGTGCAAGATTGTTCCACTCACTTTCAGAAAGGATTGTTGTGCACATTCATTGCATTTTGAAAAGTTAGAAAAGAAATTATTGAATTCCACTTATGTTGTAGAGTAATATAACATATTTATTACAAGAAAATGGATATAATCACAACATATTCAAGCATCACCAATAAGTGGAATTTAAAGTTTATTTAATTGGCCAACTAGTTCCGCTTTTACATTTGAGGCTTCATCGGGACCATTTTACAATGTTCCATACGTATTCACTTATTGGCGAGACTCGAGTATGTTGTGATTATAATTATATCCATTTTGTTTGTATGTGCCTATATTCCGTAATTGCCCTAGCTAGGCCTGCATACCTTTTGGTATCTGTACTCAAAGCGAAGCTCCCCACTGACCAACCCACAAACCTACACCTGACGTTGGCTCTATCACTTTAATGTTGGGCTGTTTATATTTAGTGGCACGTGGGTTTTCTTGGTTTCCAAAAAAACACATGTACTCTAGATCTATTACACAGCAGGTTGTAAACAGTCAAACTTTCCCAAAAGGCATGCATGTATTCTTGGACATAATGAAATTTCATTGTGTCTGAATCACCGGAGGAGGAAACGTAAACCTCCGAAATATTGATTCTTCTGTTCCTGGCTCCATGATAATCTTATAATACCAGACAAACTACACTGCTGTTTAGTTACAAACACGCATACTGTTCAACTGGAAATTCCTGCATGTGGAAACGTTTGCATTGTGACTCTTTCAACTGATCATGGTGCGGAAATTAACTCATTGGCAATTCGTTCTGAAATCTACATATTCTATATATACATCTATATGATTTACACTTTGCCAAATTTTTTGCCGATACTTCGAACTTACACTTACTTTCTGAAGCATAACTTCGTATAATTCGAACAGGTTCATCAATATTTATTTAATTGTGTTCAAACTGACCGAAGGTTTATACTGTTACATATATATGTTCCCTGAAAAAAGATATTCATGTGTGGATATTTCGAGCTAATTTAAATTTACTCTTTGCGAAAAATATGAACATGTACAGTAGGTGCAGAGTCCGCAATATTTGTTAGGTTTGAATTCCTAATTAATAATGAAATTTATTTTGGTAAATTATTGTAAGTTTTGGGAACAAACTGGACAATACATGTATACGTAGTGTAAGTAGCTTCCATTATCACTGTTTGTAATATATGTACGCTATCTCAATGAAACTACTCTAAGGTGCAAGTGCTAAAGGGTTGACATATATATATACTTTAGATACAATCATGATCAGGAGAGTGAGAGGAGCCTTAATCAAGCATATATATCTTGACCCCAATTAGGACATGTATATACCAATATGTTAGGCATAAATATACATCTATATATGTTTGTTCTACTGTAAAAGAAGTGCACTGATTACGTTGCCTTGCAAGCGTCAGCTGTAGGGAATTTCCCTTTAGCTCAGCGGTAGAGCATCGGGCTGGAGAGCCAAGGGTCGTGGGTTCAAGCCCCAGCGACGGCACTATCTTTATCACTATTCCTCATCCTACTACAAATTGGTGTTATTGACCCTTCCCATTCAAGGTAGGAGAACCCTTGGCGGGGAGTCGAAGAACCTGGGTTGGTGATTGAAAAAGGGGTAAATAGTGTAAAAGAAGTGCATTGATTAGGTTGCCTTACATGCATCAGCTGTAGGGAATTTCCCTTTAATTAGCTCATGATAAGCGGTAGAGCATCGGGCTGGAGTTTCAAGGGTCGCGGGTTCGAGCCCCAGCAACAACACTATCTTTATCACTATTCCTCATCCTACTACACTATCGTATATTTGTATGTTTGCTGGCATCAAGGTGATACATGTTTATCTGTATACATATAACTTATATCTTCACTGCAGTACTTGAGATATACAATGCTACATATCTTAACATATAAGGTCCAGTATCAAATTTACATTGACCAATCAATATGGTAGCCTCTATTTACTGCCACAGATTTTCTGTTCAGCTGCTTTTCTTATAGTTATTAATATTTTGGCAGTAATAGTGTGTGTGAGCAGACATTGATACCTTTTACAAGCTAAACTGTTGCCCTGGGCCACAGTCTGGGTTCTACATAGGTATAACTAAACACCTGTTACACTCATACTCATCCCCAGTCAGTATAAATCTATACATTATCAGGTTAACGCTACTGCTGCTGCCAATAGATCTGCATACGAACTATATATCTGATCAATAGAGGGGCAAAATAGTTTAAGAATCCCTTCCAATGCAGACAAAACACTATAAGGAATTCCACGGTAGTTTTTCGAACATCAGTAACCTCCCCTTAATTTCTTTTTGGATTAAACAGTATATATATATATATAGCTCACTAGAACTTGGTCACAGTACTAAAACTGACTTGGCCATGGTGTCGCAGAGTTGGTTAGAATGATGGTATTATGATCGACAGTCCTGGGTTCGAATCCTGGTCCGACTCCATTGCTTTTATAAACACTCAGAATACAAGTACCGTTGAAGATTAATTTTTGATGTTACTTTAATTTTATTACGCACTAAAAATTTTACTAATTCCAAAAAATGTTCATGATTTCAATATGGGGACCAGTACATTTCAACCTTTGACAAGGAGTTTTTAAAAATTAACCCGCTGCCCAAATCTGAAGGAACCAGTGCATTTTTTACATTTCATGATTTTTGGACCACTGTATTTCAACATGAAGCAAATACTTCTTAGAAATATTAAGTGCATGTAGTTCATATTCAAATGGCCATTATACCATGTTGTTTTTACCCAGCATTACATTATATATAGTATGTATATGTATAAACTGGTTATAAGCCCCTGTGTATGTCCTTGTGTGTTAATGACCTCATCAAGCCCAGTCACTTGGGTCAGCTGTCACTCAAATCATTGTCTTTATGATTCAGGGTCATTTCACCATAGGGCATCAAACTGTGTATCAAACTAAATCATCTGAATATTATTCAGAAACATCTACAATCCAGTAAAACTAGCTAAGCTTTAGGTAGACACTGTAATTTAATTTAAAAAACACTGTTTTATCATGAGGTAGAAAATGCAAAATAATCCGACTGGGATTCAAACCCTGGACCTCCAAACTCTAGACGAACATGTACACTTGACAGCAAATGTGATTTAACAAATTCAGCTACCAGCTGGTCATTTGCAATCACCCAGCTTTGCCTTGCATGCTGCTCTTTCATGAAATTATTTATATGACAACATAATATGTGGTTAAATTCATTATGTGTGCAAACAAAACACTGCCAAAAAGATCAGGTAAGAAAGGAAAGAAATATTAGACATCCAAAGCTTTGTCATGTAATTATATATATATATATCTAATTAGTAGCAGTTTGATTCTGGTTACTTCTTAGCTAGTCTCTTAATAACATATAAGCAGATCTGCAACGGCCCCCAAAAATACTCTTCTTTTCCCAATTTTTGTGACATTGATCTGTCTATAGGGGATCTGGAAAATCATGTATCTACATGTTTTGTATTGTGACCTCTGTCTTTAGGGGAGCATCCTGTATCTACATGTATTGTATTGTGACTTCTGTCTTTAGGGGAACATCCTGTATCTACATGTATTGTGACCTCTGTCTATAAGGGAGCATCCTGTATCTACATGTATTGTGACCTCTGTCTATAGGGGAACATCCTGTATCTACATGTATTGTGACCTCTGTCTTTAGAGGAACATCCTGTATCTACATGTATCATGACCTCTGTCTATAGGGGAGCATCCTGTATCTACATGTATCGTGACCTTTGTATATAGGGGAGCATCCTGTATCTACATGTATCATGACCTCTGTCTATAGGGGAGCATCATGTATCCACATGTATCATGACCTCTGTCTATAGGGGACCATCCTGTATCTATGTGTATCATGATCACCTCTGTCTATAAGGGAGCATCCTGTATCAAAATGTATTGTGACCCATGTCTATAGGGGATCATCCTGTATCTACATGTATTGTGACCTCTGTCTATAGGGGAACATCCTGTATCTAAATGTATTGTGACCTTTGTCTATAAGGGAGGCATCCTGTATCTACATAAATTGTGACCCATGTCTATTGGGGAACATCCTGTATCTACATGTATTGTGACCCATGTCTATAGGGGAACATCCTGTATCTAAATGTATTGTGACCTCTGTCTATAGGGGAACATCCTTTATCTAAATGTATTGTGACCTTTGTCTATAAGGGCGGCATCCTGTATCTACATGCATTGTGACCTATGTCTATAGGGAACATCATGTATCTACATGTATTGTGACCCATGTCTATAGGGGAACATCCTGTATCTACATGTATTGTGACCTCTGTCTATAGGGGAACATCCTGTATCTAAATGTATTGTGACCTTTGTCTATAAGGGCGGCATCCTGTATAGTGTATCTACATGCATTGTGACCTATGTCTATAGGGAACATCATGTATCTACATGTATTGTGACCCATGTCTATAGGGGATCATCCTGTATCTACATGTATTGTGACCTCTGTCTATAGGGGATCATCCTGTATCTACATGTATTGTGACCTTTGTCTATAAGGGAGGCATCCTGTATCTACATGTATTGTGACCTTTGTCTATAAGGGACCATCCTGTATCTACATGTATTGTGACCCATGTCTATAAGGGAGGCATCCTGTATCTACATGTATTGTGACCCATGTCTATAAGGGAAGCATCCTGTATCTACATGTATTGTGACCCATGTCTATAAGGGAGGCATCCTGTATCTACATGTATTGTGACCCATGTCTATAGGGGAACATCCTGTATCTACATGTATTGTGTTGTGACCTCTGAATGCGTGGCAAAAGGATACCTGAACCTGGCATGGGATGTAAATATTGTTGTCTTCTGGTTGAAGATTTAGCAAAAGGAGTGGTAGAGGGATGTAGTAGAACTGGACAGGATCACTAACCAGCGACCAGCTGTGAGCTTAATCTAAAGAGTATCTGTCTTGAGTTTAGAAGATCCCAGGTTCAGATCTGGGCCTGGTCTGGCTGCAAGCTTTAATTTTCTCTCTCTTATTACCTATTCATTTTGTACAACACAAAAAAATTGTTGAAACAATAACATGATCAGTCTGAAAATACTGACTATCTCTTCTTAAAAACTATTTTCAAGAGGAGTGCTGGCTAGGGAGTAGAGCCAACGCTGTTCATTGTTTACCAATCAGCTGGATACCCGGAAGTATGTAGGGTGATGGAGCAGTAGAGAAACAGCAGGGACATAAAGCCTGTTAACGGGGCGAAACCTGTCAATAAGCACTGAAAACATGTAAGAAACCTACTCCGGTGCCGATGTGATTGATACCCTAGCTACCGGACATTAAAAGAGGAGACATAGTCAGCTATTTCAAAGTAATGTCACCCTGTTAATATACTAACCGCTTCCTACCGTCTCGGCTAGGGAGAATTTCCCTTTCGCTTATTTGGTAGAGCGTAAGACTAGTAAGCCAGAGGTCCCAGGTTCGACTCCTAGCAGAGGCATTGAAAAAAAATTACCTCTGTTACCTTGGCGCCCACATAGGAACCCAGGTGATATGACAAAATACCTAGCAATACTTGCAAAGGAGTTGCTATGACCCCTGGAAAACTTGAGACAAGTTGTTTCCTGGAGGGAGTATGTCACCCTGGTAAAACACTAGCCGATTCGGTAGAGTGTAAGACTAGCTAATAAGCCAGAGGTCCCTGGGTTTGACTCCTGGTGGGGGCATTGAAAAAATAATGACCTGCTACACTTATTTCAATTAGTTTCATACAACTTTTGAAAGGTTGTTTCCATTTTATTTTAGATGTTGAAACTGACAGATCTAATTTTAGTATCTTAAGGGCATGTAAAAGATGATTACAAAAAAATGTTTTTTGTATACATGCATGTATTCATGTATCTGCCCTACATGTAACTGGACATGTGAAGCATAGAATATTATCCCGGACAAAATTCCAAACATCTTTTAGACCTAGATATTGTTGAACTGTGTCTCATATATACACACAACACTTCAAGTTTGGGAATGTTTATATTTATCCTTATTTTATTCATTTATTCACTGAATTAACCGTCGTTATTATAATGGTTATATCAGCCATATATATACATACAAAGTATATACGTAGCTCACTTTGAAATTAAGGTATATGGTAAATATTTATGAACTGTACGTCTACAATTATATGATAAAGGAACAAGATGTTTCGCCAAGCTTAAACGAGTCTTCACGACCAGCTGATCAGTCTGGTACACGGTAATAGTATTTGAGGCCCCATAAAGGAAGTGCTGACACACGATAATTGATTTAAAGCCCAACTTGATTGAATATTACCTGCCCTTATTTTCACCATAAATACCCACCTCCATCGCCTGTCCTTTCATTTGGGACACCTGCTGTACCCATGCTGCTGTTCTCTCCAGAGCTTCAAGGTTAATCGCCGTATTTTCCATCCTCCGGTTGTGGTTGGTTTTAGATACCCCGTCGGAGGCCCCTCTTTGTACCTACTGACACGAAATATTCACTACACTTTGATGTTGCCGCTCTGCCCGTATAGGTATATTTTGTTACATACACCAGGAAATAGCTATCCCTCGTGTATTAAACATACACCCTAACAACAGGAAATATTAAAACATTGCGGCAAAACTGTTCAATTCCGCGGTAACACCATTGAATCGCCAGCCAAACGTAACGTTTTCCCCTGAACGAGTCTCGTCGCTCGCACAACAAATAAACACCACACAATTTGTTTTCTGTCTCTCTCCCTAGGTGGGGCCGTGTTTCGGTGGTGAGCGTCCCTGTTCGGTGATCCAGCCCCCAAGGGAATGGTTCTCGTCAGCCAATCAAATCCCTTCAATCGATCATACTCAATCATAATCAATCACCAATCAACCAAGCTCGCGAGAGCGCGCTCCACTCATACAACGCCATAGCGTGTCGTGACAGGCTAGGATAGTGAGTAGGGCACAGCGGGTTTGATTGATCGAGAAGGTTTAAACCGTGAAACGTGTGACTGGAATAGCTGATGAACGCTGTATTATATTTTGCCGAGGAGCGATATTTATACGCGAAAAAAACTCTCTTTTTTGGCGTTTTCTGTGATATTTGAGTTCGAAGTTGGACTAGAAATGGATTACTGAGTTTATATACATGTACACGTGTGTATACCAGCTATACAAATCTTTGTGGCGGTACAATCGAATACATTTAATTTGTATTAATATACAAAATATATATGATTTATTTCTGTGAATTTGAAAACAAAGTTCTTATCTCAGTTCAGATACGAAATTATCATTTGATTTAGCGCTGAGTTCTGTACCACAGGTACATGGGGATTTGTTAGGTGTACATTTGTTTGTTTGGACCTAAAATGACGTGCTTAGAGTAATATTTAGACGTTTTAATGGTTTAAATGAACTTTCAGTAAAGAATCGTTTTAGGATACTCCAAACATGTCATATTACCCTGAACGGAACAGGTAAGGTCCAAACTAGCCTCGTCTGTCACAATATTATGGGTGTATTAACAGACGAGGCTAGTACCTGAGATTTGTGTTCTATACAGGAAACGAAACCGCGAATCAGTTATTAAATGATAAATGTTCTGTTAGTGTCTAATCAGTGATTATAACAACTATAGCGTGCATGGTAGGTTCATGAGAGTGATGAATACCAAAAATATCTACCATAAAGCGTGGAAGTAAAACAAAACAATTACTGAGTCGATGACGCAGAGACAGATATCAGAATATCTATAAATTAATTCACAATGTTGGTTGGTAGTGGTACATTTAAAAAAAAATACATCCAGTGATGTTGGCAATTTTGTACTTCAATACTTTCATGGACTCCGATAGAAATATAATTCCGTGGTATTTTACAGAATGGAGTATAAGTTACCATACGTTTCCCAGTTTGGCATTTGTGAAGTGAACACTTTTTGAGAGATTGTACGAGTTATCATCCTTCCGCCACGAAAGTTTCGCATACTGTTTCGTCTCATAGTTGGGAATGATAACCCCCCACACCCACCCCACCCCTCCCACCTTACACACATACGCAAGAAGGCATTAATTTGGTAAAAAGCTCTCTACACTATAAGTATCAAGCTATACTATGACGTCATCTGACGGTAAAATGTTAGAATTTTTAATTGGTTTTACTGTGATGTCACAGAGAAGGCGTATGGTGTCTCGCTAGGATTGGTTGGTATAATAGAATTATTTATGTCGTGAAGGTATGACAAAGAAATCCCATCCATGGGCGGGGTGTGAGTATTTATGATTATCTAACCAGAGGCTTGCGTCAAGCATACGGCATTGAGAATATCATGGTAAGGGAAACATATAATCTTAAATAAAGGAACACGAATATAAGATCAGCATAAGATGTGTTGTTTTGAGAAACTGACCAAAAGGGAGTTTAGCTTATTTCTCTCATTTACAAACAGCATATTCTGAACCAGTTACAGTTAGGTCCCTTTATCTTGAACTACTGTTGAAAATATGTTGATTGATTTTGTTTAGTTTGTTTGTGTCTTATGTCCTATTAACGGGTATTGTCATTAAGGATGAGTCAGGTTATGTTGGTGGAGGGAAACCGGAGTGCCTGGAGAAAGACCAATGACCTACGGGAGGCTCCTCTGGTTAGATAGGCCTCGAACCTACGATCCAGTGCTGGAAGGCTAGTGATCTTACACGGTCACCCGCATTGGCCACCGTGGCAACCAAAATTTCTGTTGATGAAACATAAACTGAGCTATGTGATCTGTAAAAATATGACAGCTTAGTCATTTTTACTGAGCAAACATATTTCCTCTGATTTCTTCATATTTATTACTTTAATTTACATGTATATCCGTGAAACACTGGAATAATCTGTGATTAATTTACAGATATTTCTGATACATTTAGACATTAAGATATATATGATATATTTAGGGATATCTAGTGAATTTTTGTTTTGTCATAAATATGTAGTTATCTCGCCATGAAAAACAGTATTTATGATACTTATCTTTAACAGTGTGCCCCATGATCCATAAAATTCCAGGGGTTAGGTCTCTGTTATTACTGGAATTTCGAGGATAGGGCCTCGTTTATATTTAAAGACGCGTGTAATTGCCGTGTCGGTTCCTGGGATATATCCATGCTTATTATCAAGAACGTGAAGAAAAACTATGCTAAATAGCACGTTTGGTTACTTAAGTTATCATTCGCTCTTTGCAGTTGGAAGGTGTAGGCCGGGTTCAGCCAGAAGTCGATGTATTGACCATCGGAAGACCATTGGGTGAGTGACCAGCTAGACCATTTGACCAGCACGGCTATACACCGACTGACCACAAGATCAGCGATTGTATGGATTCATCCGCAGACACACCGCCCATATCACTATTGCAGCCGACCAATTAATCTCGGAGACAGATCAATCGAAGCTGATCGGTAAATCAACCAAGCAAATCTATCAGCTAACTGAAAGGTCCTCGATGTGTAATTTATTGATGTAGTTTTTTCTGTCTTCCGTCTCCATCTTATGTGGAGTTCAGTAATCTCATAAAAGCGTTTTATCAAATAGAGGACTTAGAGGGTTTTTTATTTCTGTCGTAACCACGTGAAGGTACGGTAGTCTAGAGGTAGGACACCGAGCTCGTGACGGAAGGGTTGCGGGTTCGAGTCACGGCACGGCACTGTGCATGTGTTGTATCTTTGAGCAGGATACTTTACTCCGCTTGTTCCAGTCTACTCAGCTGTAAATGAGTACGTGGTTCGGCAGTGCTAGAATTGTAGAATGCTAGCTGTGAGTGCCGAAACGTCAGCGCCGGCGGTATAGGGCCTTTGCAACCAGCCAATATCTTTCTCAAATCCACGGGGAGCATAAACAACGGATAATAGTTTGTGAACCACTTTGAGACAATCTACGAACTAGGTTGTGATAAAGCGGTATGAAACTCGAATTATTATTGTTGATCGTAGCTAAGATACCAACATATATCTAAAATTACCAATTCGATCACTGATTGTGTGGACGTGTTTTGACCGTGACTTGACGTGCATTATAAAAAATAGAGATTAATGAATGTAATGCGTCATGTTTTCTTCTGAACGGTTGCACGTAATATGTTCTTCAGATAATATAGAACTCATTGGATGAGACCCACCACATGTTAGTGAAAAAGTCATTCAGTATATTGAAGCATACACTTAAATTTTCACGATTTTTAAAATCATATATTTATTGATTTCTTTTTTTTTATGATTAATATGGACCGTGCCGTATTAAACACGAAAAAGGAAAGAAATAAAATTTTACAATGTAGGCTGATAAAATAGTGTTATGTGGTATCTCTATAACCATTGAACAATCTCGAAGGTTTATGTAAAACAAAAACTACTTAGTGAAGTATAAAATTTAATATTATCCATATAAAAAGTTTTTTTACTTCTTAATAATCAGACTAAAAGGAGTTCCCAGAACTCGGGAGATTGCTTCTAGGGCAATCTCATTAAAATCAGATGTTAATAAAAAAAAATACCTACGGGATGCGGTACGTAATAATGAACAGCTGTATTTATTCAGATTGCTTCTAGGGCATAGTAGAATTTGTTTCCAGCTATGAAGGG